AGCCCGAGCCCGCCCGAGCCCGGGCCCACCCGAGCTCGCGCCTGACCGCCCCCGAGCCCGACCGAGCCCGAGCCTGACCGAGCCCGAGCCCGACCGAGCCCGAGCCCGACCGAGCCCGACCGAGCCCGAGCCCGACCGAGCCCGAGCCCGACCGAGCCCGACCCTGACCGAGCCCGAGCCTGACCGAGCCCGAGCTACTCGGGCTCGGTACATGCCTAATCATGGACTACTTGATCACCAGATTAAACACCATTAAACTTCTTTCTATGGAAACATCTTAAACCAAATGTCTACAAAAGATTAGTATAAGATTTAGATGATTTAGAGATTAAAGTAGCGAAAGAAACTAAAATAATAAAAAACAGAAACTTTACATGATGTTTTTTTCAGAACTAATAAAACGGCTAAATTTTTATATTGAAGTTACAGGTAATATCTTTGAATCGTACTCATGAACTTTGTCTTTAGGAATAAAAAATTACTCGGCTTCTCTTTCAAATAAAAAAAATGCCAGATAAAGATTGATTAGTAATGGAATAATACACATTTAGTAAGTGATAATGACTTTTGGGACACCCTGTATATCTTGTTAGAAACAAAAATAATGTAGCATATTTGTAAAATCTTTAGCTCAAACGTATTTTTATCAAAGTTGTTCATTCACTCGAATTCGTACTTGCTATATGAGACAACTAAAAATACCACTAACAAAATTTCATTAAAACTAATCAATGAAAAACTTTTGATAACTTATCAAGGCCTATAATTACGAATATGATGTTTATTCAACCTAAGATTACAAAGGACAGAGACAACATGACCAATTTCAGTACTTTTATGAAAATCATCAAAAAGACATCTAAATATATGTCCTAAAATAGTGTAATATTTAATACTTTTGATTAATATTTTCAACAACTGCTCTTGCACTTTCGATCTGACACGATATTGAATGTATTTATTGTCAAGTCAGAAAAATCAAAATGAAATACTAAAACTGTCAAGGTAGAGGTATAGTAAACAAATAAATCTGACAAGAATATATTTGGGTAACAGATTTTACAAAAATGCTTGATTTTTTTGACTTCGGACAAGATATGTAATCCAAACAATAACAAATTCTCAGCACTACATGAATAATATAAAAGGTAAAAATGAATCATGTTTTTTTGATATATGATTGAAGTTGAATGATAAAAAAAGAATTGGAATATCCAGTCAAACTGATCACTCTGGTATATTTCTTTCTTATCGTACACAAAGATCAGACATTCTTGACTTATCACAGTGACAATATTTAAAAACAGGATAATAAGTTCATTCATGTGTTGAATCAACCAAAAATATTCGGATGATTCTGACGTCCATGCTTTTCATGGAGTTTATGAACCACATTTAAAGTAATGTTTTCAGCATTACGTCTTTTTATTTCTGTAGAAATATATTCAATTTCTAGAGAAATTTAGGACGAAAACAAGCGACACTATTATGAAATAAGCAAATAAAACAACATATATTTATTACATCGAAAGTTTACAAATATAACATAACGTCTTAATGAAGCGAAAAGCGTTGAATGCGATTATTGTTACTGTCTGATACATACAAATAGTTTTCTTCATAATCAACTGCTAAACCATAGGCAAAACTCAGTAAGTATGGTGTGCGACCTGCTATTCCCATTGAACTTCCCGCAATAGTAACACCAAATGTTGCATTCTTTTGCCATTTTTGAATTCTGTTATTGTAACAATCAGCAATGTAAACTGAACCATCTAATCTGGAAATATATAAATCCGTTGGACGAAATAGCTTATTAGCAGCCAAACCTGAACCATTTCCACCAGCAACCGTTACTCCAACGCCTGAACCATTCAAAGCAAATCGTTGTATACGATGATTAGAGCGATCAGCCACATATATATATGAATTAAATTCATCCAAAGCAAGACCATACGGTACATTCAATGATAAACTATCAGAACCTGCTGTACCTGATGATGATCCAGCTACAAGTGTACCACTAGTAGCATTTGGTGCCCATTTAGTTATCCAATTGCAAGAATAACTGGATATATAAACATTTCCCAGGCTATCAACAGCGATTCCTGTCGGAAAGTATAACCAGTTCATTGAACAGTTACTGTAGGATATGCCACTCGGTGGAATAGTTTTATTCGTTGGCCATATGTATGCAAGATGAGCGTACATGATAGTAATATAAATGTTTGAAGTTTTATTATCAAGAACGAGAAATGAAGGCCAACTGCCAAAACTTCTAAGTGCTTGACCTGTACGATTATTGAGATGGAACATATAAAGTTGGTTGGTATTATCTCCGACATATAATGTATTATTATAACCTAATAAGATGTCTGCTTGGGCGCTTAATATTGTTTGATTTGTACTAGAATTGCCATTACATCCACCAGCTATTGTTACACCAAAGGACATTGGTAAAAGGGTTGTATCTGCGAATGAAAATTAGAGAATAAGAAACAATTCAGAATTTCATTAATTCTGATATTTAATCCTAGACAATTATTTCTTGAAAGTGAATAGACTATGATACAGGTAGATGCATCTTATCGTTCATTTTATAGTTTGAACTTTTCTACTACTTCATAGAATAAACAATTGTGTGCTTACTCTCAAAAACGAATGGTAAACATTTTGGCCAGTATCCATAACAATCTGTTGTACAAGTAAGATTCAAATCTGATCGACATGCATCTCGTTGTGTGCATGTATCATTTTCAAACAATTGTAGTGCACAGATTAATCCATTCCAATATGTATTTACTGGACATTGACATTTACCTGCATTTGTAAAACAAACTTCATATCGATTTTCTTGACATGCTTGACAATATTGATCATGAACTGATGAATAAAAAGTTGATGAAATACGAACAATACCAACAATAGATGTTGATGAAGATGAAGAAATAATGGATCCTGTTGTAGAATCCCCTTCAAATAGACGACATTGTTTTGAAATCAAATCATAATCGAATATGCGACAAGATGATAGTTGATTGCATACTGCTGCACAGAGAAGTTTAGTTTGAATTGTGTTCGTTGTTATTAACTGAATATTCTTTTTCGGTGCATATTCTAATCCCATAGAAGTAAATTCCATATTTGATTGATAGATAGAATCTATCGGTGACACAATACCGACGATAAGCACAATGAATAACATCTTTCCGTTTTTCAACACTAAAAAAACAAAAGTAAGATCTGATTAACTATCATCAGCTAACATTAAAAAGAATTTATTGACAATACGTAAAGAGAAAAATCTTGTTGTATATGAGATAAATGAAAAAGATAATATACAGTTAGAAAACTAACTAGAAGAAATTCTATTCTATTACAGTACGTTTCACATATGTGAAAATGTTATTTAAGTGACTATGTGACACTGTTTCTCTATTAGAGATCATTCTGATGAATAAAACATAATTGTCAGTGCGTTATTCAAAAGTCTTTGATCAAATTGACACTTTTTGTAATTTAAAATGAAAATCATGAATAGAGTTCACAGTTTTGTTTGATACTTGTATTATTAATGAGCTTGAACAAACATAAGTTATTTCTATGTGTGAAAATTACCTTTTCTTGATTAAATTTTTTCAAGAATGTATCATCATATCGTATCTTTTTCTCCGTACTGTATAACATTTATTTCATCATATTAGATTCAGTAGTATATGTACATATATATTTGTTATGAAATTAAAATTACAACTGGAACAGTTAATATCAAAAAGCTCTTCACTTGTTGTTCGATTTCTAAGATAACTGATCGTCAGTGTTTTTTGAGAAAGAAATCAATAAAATGACTTAATTTAATTGTAAAAAAAAAGGAATTGAGGAACAATACGAATACCTTCGTATTATACGGTACTTATTACTTCTTGACAACTCATTTTGTTTGTAAAAAAAGACTACGTCATGCGTTTGTTTTTCGAGCATTTATTGGCGAACAAGACAACATTTTTTAATTTATTCGTTCATTATTATGCTATCGATGTTTTTCCTGCTTCAAAAAAAAAAAACAATATAAAACTATGACTTTATTAAAAGTTCTATAAAAGTGATTACTCATTTTTCGCGTTAATTGATTTTCACACAAAAGTGGAGTCTATCTAATTTGAATACTATTAGCGTCGATAAAAAATTGCTTTTTTTCTACGTATTATATAAAAGAAATGCTATCATCTTTTCGTGATAGTTTCTTGTCGTATGAAGCTAATATTTTTTTTTTAAATAAGATGATTAAACGTTTAAAAAAATCTTTAAATAAAAAGAAATATCACCGTATTTTGACTCAAAATTCGACCTTGTATTTGAATAATAATCTGATTTCTGCTTTAAACGATGATTCATATGTTGATTACTATTGAACTCGTACAAGCAGATCGATTTCAATAATCAAAATAATCAAATGATTATCTATTTTATTCTATGGTTCATCATGTTAAATTAAATATACATTTATTTGAATTATCATGATCTTATGTATATTTGTCTCTCTTGTTGATTTGACAAAGACATATAACTTAGAATGAAAGTTTGTTTGTTTTTTTTTATATGTTTATTTATTTATTATCGAGAAGAATAAAAATAAAATAAAATAAAATAAAATATATGAGTTAGTTCGGTTTGTTAGTAGACAGAATGCATGCAGAAAAACAAAAAGAAACTATTTTGGGATTATAATGACTGGTTCTTTTTGGATAAGTGAGATATTCGTTTTTTACTTCTTGAAATAGATTAAGTATTTAAAGGCTGTCGCCCAATTTAAATTTAACATTATCTTTTTTATTGTTAAATATTGTTGCTTGTTTTTTTGCTGCAGTAGTAGTTATAGTTTCATCACCAGAATTGTTATTTGAATCATCAGCATTATGGGTATCTAATGGTTCATTTTCTCCATCAGAATACTGTTCTAATTTTTCAAAACCTTTTCGTCGATTCATCCAATCACCAAGAGCTGAGCCATTACTAGTATCACGATTTTTCACATCATTGAGGAATGTATTGAAACGATGAAGTTTACCTATAAAAATAAACATTTTGAAGAAAATATCTCTTTGAAAATAGAAAGACTTTCATACGTTTATTTTTTATTCGAATAATACATCCAATAATCACAGAAACAAGAACAGGAATGGCAAAGGCAGCCATTATAATTAAGGAAATACGGAAGTTTTTATCACTGAAATAGATTCGTTTACTGAATATTTGTGTCGGAAGATCTAATGAATGACAAAAAATAAATAGTAGATAAAAAGAAATTAAATTCTTTTTTTTCTTTACCTTTTTTCTGAGATAATTCAAATTTATGTAAAGCATTACTAGGTGATGATGCTAATTCACCAACATATATTTCACGAGCATTTGTTGATACAGTGATATCATGTGGAGCATTTAAATGCTTTTATAAAGAAAATCATTCATTACATTTGTCTAATTTTAATTATAAATGAACTTACTGGATTTGAATCAAATGATGTTAATATGTCTCCATTTTGTGCATCAATCATATAAACTTTTTTGTTTGATGTTTGTGCTCCACCGGTAACAGCAAATAAAATTGTTCCTAAATAAAATCATATAATACATTTTATTTAGATTTTTTATTTCACTATCGATATCAAACCATTAGTATTTGGTGCAAATTCAATAGCATAAATTGCACCAATTGTTTCTTTTTTCTCAACACGTATTTGTCGTTGAAATTCTCCTGTATTTGAATTAAAGCATTGGATGCGAAAATTTTCTCGATCAGCACCACACAATAATTGTGCATCTTCATTCAATGCTATTGAATGAACAATATTCCATTCATTAGGTAATGGAAAGCCATCACCTATAAAAATTTAATAGATTAAAAAATAAATAAATTCTAATTAAATATTTCAAAAGAATTCATTCCGTTAAGATGGATGACATAGTTAATTATTTTTCTTCTCGCAATCAAATCAATTCTCAGAATAATCGAATAAGGTCTTGTTTTTATTTATATTCATCAGATTTTAAAATCTATCAACAACACGAACTTTTAGTATGGCTAAAAGATATATTTAATCGTTTAAGTCAAAGTAATAATTGAGTTTGTGAGAATTTGCTTATTCATATCGACTATGAGTTTCCTTCTTCATATTTAGTCAATAATCAAATAGTAAAGAGATAATCAATCTAGAAAGATGTGGAAGACCAATGATATTGTTCATCGTGCAGAAAAAATACACATTTGGTCGTGAAATTAAAAAACAAAAGAAAACTTACTATCATGCTTTCCTGTCATTGGTGAACCCCATTCGGTGATATATTCTCCCTTACGATTAAATTTAATAATACGACTATTGCAATAGCTATAAAAATAAAATATAAATTTTTGTTAACTTCTTTGTTTTTCGTAGTATTTACCCATCAGCAACAAAAAAATCTCCATTTTTCATAACAGCAACATCAGCTGGTCGACAAAGTTGACTGGGTCCTGCGCCAGGTTTAAACATTTCTCCTACAACTAATGCTGGATGATTTAAATCATTTGGTTTAAACATAAAAACTTGATGCATAGCAATATCAGTTAACCAAAAATTTCCTTCATGATCTATTGTTAATCCATGTGGCATATAAAATTTTTTAGCACCCCATCGAAATTTTGTTTGTCCTGTACGTGTATCAACATGAATAAGAACATCATCTTCAATTGGACCATACTTTTCATTACGAAAACGGGTTTCATCAAAATATCTATTGTAACAAACAAAACAAAACGAAGAAATTAATTTTTTTGAATAAAATTTTTATATTACTTATATTCCCATTTTCGAGATCCCCGATGAAATACAATAAGTTCATTATTTGCATTATTTAATCCAATGCCACCTATTTCACCAAGTTGAGCTGGCAATGATTTAACATCAGGCCAATTTTCGACATTTTTATATAAATTAGCTACAATTTTTAAAAAGAGACATATGAATTTTCGATCTTTTTTGATAATTAATAAAAATTTATCATGCAAAAATAAAGAAACAAAGCGGACGAGACAAACAAATAGCAATATCAATATCAATTCTCACATCTCATCGCTTTTGCATTATGCAACTTTACTGTTTGTCCTTTTCCATATGTTAAATGACTTGGTAATAAATAATCGTAATTCTGTGCATCAACATATTCATATTCTGGTAAACCAAGATGTGATAAGATTTTATTTACATCAAAATTATATGTTCCTCTATCACGATGACGCATATTTTCGAGTTCATCTCGATAGTCTTCATAGAATCGATCGTCATTTGCTAATTATATTCCGATATTTATCTATTTATTTTAAAAAAACGAAAAAACAATAATAATATTTCAATTACCCGTGAATGAATTCATTGCATGTTCAGCATGAGCATGATGCCCATCAGGTGTTCCACTAATATCAGCTGGTTTAAGTGGTGGAATGTCACCGTCTGGAGGAATAAGACTAAACAAGAAACATAAAATTCATTTTCTGATTGAAATATATTATTAAAATTGTTTAAATAGGAATATGATACAAAAACAGACATATGAATGAGGAAGTTCGTTTCTCTCACCAAACAATATTATTATTAAAATATATAATACTGAAGCCTCTTAATCCTATTCTCAAAGGTTTCAGAATGATTACTGTCATATGTTTTACTAACGAGGAAACCAACCGAGATAATACCTCGCATTTAAGATGGAATCCCTTTCATTGCCGAGAGTCGGCTGAGACTAGAAGAATTTTTCCAAATGCGCTGCACTTTTAGAATTATAACCATTTCTCAAGGTTTTGCTACCTTTGTCACGGTATTTATACAAAAAAAACTGAACAAACGAATTTTGGTCTAGAAGTTTGTCTATAGACGGCTATTGAAATTATTAGAATCTTCTAAAAATATCAGCCGAAAAGATTAATCTCTTCTCGAGATATTAAATCCAGAGAAAAACTTAGCTTTTCTGTCAGCTTGGTAAAGTATCGTGATTTTTTATGGATTAAATACTTTGAGAAAAGACCAATCTTTTTTAGCTAAAATTTTTAGAAGATTCTAATAATTTCAAGAGCTGTCTGTGGAGAAAATTCTAGATCAAAATTCATTCGTTCAGTGTTTTTTATAAATACCGTGACAAAGATAAAAACTCACTGTAATGGGCATAACTCGAGAAGAGCAATGCATGAGGGAGAACCCTTCTACGTTTCTTCTAGTCTCAATAAGCTCTTGGTAATGATTAGAGTTTCATCTCAAACGCGAAATATCACTTCGGGTGGTTCTTTCGTAAATGTAAACATAAAAGAATATTATTCGATTATTTATCGTTTTTCAGCAATTCTCAATTCATGTTATATTGTTGAAATAATCAAGACTAGAGAAAGAAGTGTTCTAAAGAATTGAGCCTAGTTAGATCAACTTCGAATTCTTCTATCGAATAAAGTACAAACAAAATTTTCACGTTTTATTGATTTCAAGAAAAGTACTATTTTCAATAATTAAGTATTCACCACATCAAGTATAAGAGAATTGAAAAATGCCGACGGCAAATCTTTTTTATTTAAATCTTGATGCAGTTAAATAAGTTTTAAATAATCTACCTTGCCATTTTGTTGAATGCATTACCCCAACACATTTGAACTGGAGGTGACTCAGATTTTGTTTCACCATCTGATATTTTTGATGGTTCATATGAATACATCGCATATACGTTACACATTTCATTGGTATGCGTTGATCTAATAGTTCAATGAATATTATATTATAAGTACAGAAAGTCCAAAAGTCATGAACACTCAACAAATGCACAGAACTTCACTAAAAATCTCATTTAATCCAAAAACTTGTTTTTAGTCGGAAACAAGAGATGCATAGGCTTTTATTCTTTCAGAATAAGTTCATTAACACTTTAGAAACGGTAGCAATTTTTACGATAATACGAAAAAATAAGGATTTCTTTGATACCAGCAACGAAATACGTCGTTTTTTTATGTCTTCTCGAATTTTCATCATTATTATGAATTTCGTATCATTCAAACTTTTCACTGTGACTCTAATAAACACTTAGTCTTATATACTGTTACAAAAAGAAAACAGAAGTATCATTTTTTATAACAGATGAATTATAATGTAGCCTAAGATGCTCGTTATCATGCATATTATAATTTTCGAAAAGTCAGGAATATTTCGTTTTGAAGAATGACATCAATAGTTCAATCAAGGGGGAAAAGCGAGACTTCAAGTTTTTGAAGTACGAGCGACATACAGTGAAGTACGACTGAAGTACGGTGAAGTACGACTAAAGTCAGTGAAGCATGATGAAGTACGTACTCCTGATGTCTGACTTTTGACCCCTGAATCCAATTCATTTAAAATATGTCAAGCAGCCTATAATAACGGTAAAAATTCGATTAGGAAGTGAATAAAATTCTAATTGTTTGTGTTACAATTAAAAGTACCATCGTTTTCCTACGATGCCGATAAACTTGGTCTTTAAGAATAAAATATTTCACATTTCCTATTTAAAATAGAAAAATAAAAAGTAAATTTTCGATTAAACTTGATTAGTAGTTGTATTATATGCATTTATTAAGTGATTATGATTTTTTGAACATTCTATATGTTCTTAAAAACTAAACAAGAAATAAATTACCCGACAGTAACGACTTGATTATCATTATTATCATAGACACATTGACCAACAATATAATCATTTTTCTGAATTTCAACAGCTGATGGAAGTGGATAGAATGATTGAGGCCATTGTGGATCGCCTTTAACAATTTGTGAAATTTCTCCGTCACGTACTCGATACAACGAATTAACTCGCGCTATAATAAAATAAACAAATATAAATAAAAACATATGCTAGAAGAAAAAAACAATACAAACCCCACTGATGGGCATGAACACGAATAGCAAAGATAGAAATCGGTGGTCCGTTGTATTGACATGAAAAAGGAGTTCGTATAGCTAAATAGAAATGAAAGACATATTTTACCTGGTATGGAAACGTTAATTTTTTGAGAAAGAAAAAATTGAGAGGATGTAGCATAAAAAATGAGGTGTTCTGTTTTGTTGTGGAAATCGAATCCTATGCAATCTTACATCCATTAATACTCTGAAGAGGGCAGGATAAAATATTTAACAATTTCAACAAATGTCTATTCATATTTTTCAAACAAAAAAAGATAACAAATAAAAAGCAAACGACTAATTATCACAAAAAAACAATCTCATCTGACTATTTAATAAAATTAACATGAATATTTATTATCATAAGATTTTTCGTCTTCTGTGGTTATTTGTTCAACAGGTAATTTACGTTTCTTTTTTGACTTTTCATGTTCAACATGAGCTCGTTTTTGTTGAACTACTGAAACTGTTTCCATAATCTCTGTCAACTCTTCGCCAATGGCTTTGATCTTTGCAGTTTCACTCTTCTTCAATGCATATTATATAAACACATCAAATGTAGAAAAGGTGACTAGAACTGGATAACACAAAAGTAAACAAGTTGCTCAGAAGAAAACATCAGAACATACGTAGTATGTAACATGTGCGAGAACAAGAACATATTATCTGTAAGTTCAAGTCGACTGGAGTCGACTTGAATTGAATCGAATCGATTATAACCTTGATCGAACTGAATCGAATAGAAAGAAGATTTTCTCATTCATTTCGGTCTCATATCTACACCAAAAGTGACAAAAATAAGAAATATGAGGAGATCAGTGTGAAAAGGAGGAGCATTTCCATGTCAGATTTTACGCACTTCAATCAACTTTACATTAAATCAATGAAGAATAAATCATTTTGCTTCATTTCACTTACTATGTGTTTTTGGTTTCAGATAGATATCATTAGTACCACTTAACAAGACACCTGCATGATATTTACGTCTAGAATAAAAGATCATTTCATAATTAAAAAAAAAAACTTTCTATTTTATTGAAAAAATTAATATACGGCTTTCGAGACATGATTAATTGATTTCCAGAATTATCATTTTTCAAAATTCCTAGATAATGAATATTAAGAACAATATATTTGTATGGAGTATTACGGCCAACAGCAATACCAACATCTAAATGGTACAATATATACATTCTCTCGTTTTAGTAATGTTAATAAAATCAAAATACCTTTAGGTAGTGTCAATGCGGGTGCATTTCGAGCCCATCCATGAATAATCGTTTGTATACCATTGCATGGTCCCATTCCAGTCCTACATAAATAAATCGATCTAAAAATTATCATAGAAAGAAAAGATAGAAACAAACCAGAATGGCTTATCAGTACTTGGTTGTGAACAAGCATATGAAAGCATATGATGAGCTGAATTCATATTGATTAACGGTAAATATCCAACTGAATTAAAAATTATTCATCATTTGAATTTAAAAAAATTTATCAACTTACCAATAAATAACTCTTCATCGGGTAATTTATATTGAACATATGCATATTCATCTTCCTAGAGGAAAAAGACAAAACAAAATAATAATTTTTGTTTGGGTATAAATAAACCTGTTTTGTTTCATAATTGTTCATTGTAATATTAACAGTAAAGATGTCATCTTTATTTAGAATACTGGCCGAATAACCACAATTGATAATAGTAGCAAGGATAATAAAAATACTAAGGATAGAGGTTATTCCAAAACGAAAATTGTTCATTTTATCAATTGTTTTCGTTTGTTCAATAGAAAGAGAATCTTAAAATCATTGATAAATATCATTATTTTATGTAATTTTCTAATTTTTATTTACTCACATACACTTCTGATTTTAATCACAATATGAAGAGAAACAAGTTGAATACAGAACTGAAAAAAGGGATGTTACATCTGAAATTAATCGAAACACGTTATGACTGTTGGTGTCAGGTAGATTTAAAAAAAAAAGAAATCATCGGTATACATAAGTAACTATCTCACGGAAATCATTTATCATTAATTGAATAAGCAAAACTAGAAAGAAGTAGACTCTGCACAAACTCATTTTTTTGTTTTAATGATTGCACTACAGTTGAATTTGGTGGCATCAAAGAAGACGAAGTAGATTCATTGCACATTCGCCGTAATAATGAAGGATCAGATTCTGAATTTGTTATTGTAGGAGTTTTTGTTTTGGAAGAAGTTTGTGATTGTTGTTCAGATGTAGCTTGTTGTTGACTAATAATGCGTGCCCAAGTTTGATGATTATTAGTGGATGGATCAGTTAAAAGAGCTGATGAGAAAAGTGCATCGAAAAAATTACTTTCAACAGATGGTACAGTATTAGATGTAGGTATTGATTGTTGAGAATTATTGGATTGATGATAGTGATGAAAACGTCCGGCTGCACGAAGACGTTCACGTTCATATTGTTGACGAGTAAGTGTTTGAAGATTAACTGTATTTGATGAAGATGTCAATGAACTATTAGTATTGGTTAAACTATGATTAGCTGCTGCTAATCGTCGTACATTTGATAATTGTGTTAATAAATTAGTAATTGGATCATTTCCATTGACAACTGTAGGTAATCCTGATGATGTATCTATAACAAAATTTTGACTTACATGTCCATTTCCTCTGCCCAATGCACCTCTTCGAATAGGCGTTCTTAGTGATCCACGTCGAAAACCACCACGAATTCCAGAGCCAACACCAAAATCATAATCTCTAGTCGATAATGGTTGTCTTGAATAAGTATTTGTTTCTCCACCAGATGATGATGTTGTGTTTCCTTGTGAATCTTGATGATCATTAGCTATATGTGAAATAAGATCTGTAGTAACTAAATTTGGTTCACCATTAACCATAGCAGCACATATTGGACAAATAACTTCATGTAATTGTTGATTCTCACCATGTTTTAGTTGAAGATGTTGAAATAAATCCATATTTTGTATATTATTATTATTATTTGATGAAGATGGTTCATCAAAAAATGGCAATGCTAAACCCATATCACCACAAATTGGACAAGTTAATGATTGAGGATAACCAGATGTACACTGTTCTCCATCATAATATAAATCAAAATCTTGACGTGTTAAAATACCTTAAATAAAATAATAATGGCCTATTTGAAATATCTTATGGGGTCAACAAAATATAATTTACATTGCATAGGATGTTCTCTTGTGTGATGACTGGATGTTTCTCCTTGCTCATAACACGTCGAACACAAATCATAATCATAGCATATTAAACATTTGAAACGTTTTGAACGGAAATTGCTTTTGCCACAAGCGTCACAACTAACACCGTCATGAGCTGACATACTCAAAATAAAGGGCAAAATAAAAAGCACCGTCTATTGTCATGCATCAGCAGATTGCATTTAAAATGAGACATAGCTACCATAATGCTTGAGGAACATCAACCAATCAGAAAATACCTCTTTGACGATGACATATTTCTTTATTCTATATAGCAAAAAAAAAAAATCATGATGAATGTAGAAGATTTTAAAAAACCAGTCTTATATACACTATTATTAAATAGTAAATTCTAATAAGTTAATAAGATCTTTATTTTTGTTTTGAAAACGGCTGCTAAGTCTCAAAAACAAAAAAACCAATGGCCAATTGCAATATGTGCAAGCCATCTATGTTTGACCTCGCGGAAAATTACCTGTGCTTTTACCTTTAGACTATTATGTGAAGAACAACATTCGTGATATCGAAAGGTCTTCTAAAAAACTATTAAATTCTTATAAGACGTCTGAAAGCAGATCTTGCCAGATTTTCTAAACTGATGGGTATGAAAATTGAAAAAATATCTCTAAATTGACAGTTCCTAAAAGAATGTGAGTTCAGCACAAGTAATAGTAGATGTCACTTCTGTACTATAAAGAAAACGGGCTAGGAACTGCAAAAGATAAAAATGAAATACAATATTTTAATTGTTCTCATTGAGATTTAAAAGGAAATGAATACGTACACTGATATTTATATCTTACTTTCACAAAATAATTGCTACAAAAACCTGGCGTACAAGAAAAAGATAACTATTATAACCTTGTTTAAATACAGGTATTAGAAGTAATTCTTACTTATCTTATAAAATGATTATCATTAAATTCAAAAAAACATAACATAGAAGATTTTGAATAAATGACCAAGTTTATGAAATTCAAATACAGTAAAACCTCTATAAGATGAACACCATTGAGACCTCGCGAAAAGTGTTCATTATGAGAGGTGTTCATCTTATAGAGGTTTTGCATAGATTGAACTGTTGCATGCATACAATGATCAGTAGGACTATTTTAATGACTACACAATTCATGTGAAGTTCACTGCAGATGAATCAAAGAACGAAACCAAATCTTTCATCTAGTGCATGACTTTTTGTGTTATCTTTGTTGAAAATAATCCTCTATCGTCGTCTATTTGGACCCTTTCGCGTCGATGTAGAGGTTGAGTGCATTGCAAGACTAGCTGTGCAATTTCTTCTGAAAGGGTCAATGTACGCTTCGTCATCATCTCTTCATTGAAAATAAACAAATGCTCTGTTAGGTCACTGGTGAACGGTCAATCCATCTCAGAACAGTGTGTCGCGGACTATTGATTTTTTTTTTGTTCTTTTTTCTATGATGAATAGACCGCCGACGAATTGACCTAGCCCCTCTTTAGAATGCATATTGTGTTTTGTTTTTCCCTGTTTTCTCACACATACATGCATAAGTTGTTGAACGCATGTTCATTATACAGAGGTTTTCTTTGCTAAAGGAACCAAAAAAGTGTTCATTGGTCAGAATTGGGAGATGTTCATTATATAGAGGTCCATTTACAGCAAAAATCGATCAGGTGGACCAAAACACGTGTTCAAATAGGAGGTGTTCATTAAAGGAGGTTTTACTGTATAGTATCTGCTTTATATTATGGTTTTTTATATTAATTTACTCCACTGAGATATCTAATTTCATCTTCATCCACGTGATGTCGTTAGGTTGAAACAATCAAATGTTTATGCAGTACGAGCTTATATGATTGAAATAGACTGAATTTTTTATTTGTTTGGTGAAATCAAGGGATGATATTGACTTTGAGCACTATATTCAGTCTATATAAAATAAACAGCCAAAAATGTGACTTTTGAGCATGGAAATAAAAAGAGCAAGTGAGAATACATAATAGAAAAACTTATCGATTATGATTTCTGATAAATGAACTATGGAAATATGTTTAATAAATCTGTCACAAATCATGTATTGATTTTTATCTTATAGCAAAATTATGCTCGTACATTTGCCATCACACAATAGACAGCCAGACGACAAAATCCTTTATCTTATTATTTGATTTTTTTATGTGATAAAAATCGTACAAATATGGACGATTTTATCCTTGAATCTTGATTAATTGTCAAGAGACATAAGTGACCATGTTGACATGGGATAGTACATAATTTCCTAAACATATGAAAGTTTTTTGTTGTGTATCATATTAAACATTTATTGAGTCTCACCGTCAACTCGGCAACTTTTGCTGTTCGTATGCTACTTTGAGAACACTTGTTTTGTTTTTTTGAAAGAAACAGTAGATCTTATATAATAAGGATATCTATCCACTAGCTAATGCTGCTTTTTATTTTTATATGGCTTTCTAAATGCTACTATGAATCAGCATGACAGTCTTACCATATTTTTTCAGTATGAAGAGCATGGTTTTTCTTGTATGAGTCATTCACTATTGCTGGGTCACAAAATTACCTGAATCCTTGAAAAAGTGAGACGTTTCGAGAACTCATCAACAAAAAATGATTATAAGTCGTATTGATTCGAACCAAATGAGTTCTTATTTTCAGCAGAATTCTGTTCGTATAAAAATAAAGTCATGTAAAAAGATTATCAAAATGGCAAAGCTCATGCTTTTAGCTTATTTTTCAGAATAATGAATATACAAGTCTTTATTGTGATTGAATTCCAATTAAATAAATGATTTTTTTCTCATTTTGTTCAAATTTGTCAAGAATTCTTATAATCAAAAAGTTGTATTGAATATTTCAAAGATCAATGTAGAGACGAAAGCTTTGTATTTATTGACTGCATTGGCTGAACAAACTTTGCCTATGTAACATAGAGAATATGTTAGATATGGCTTCTACAACATCAATTCTTTTGATAAACTTGTTCTATTTTGAATTTTATTTCATTCTCATTTTTTTTCTCTCAGTACAAGATCAGAAAAACAGTTGACTTTAATTTCAAGTTATGAAATATATATTCTCACGTAAACTCGACAATTTATATCATAAAAGAAAAGAAAATGAAATAAACTAAAATCTGGAAAGATCAATGTTCGTGTATATGGATAAGATGATATTGAACTTAGAATTCATTTGCCACCACCGAAGAGCTCACGAAGGTTTGGAGTACGTTTACATCTAAAATTTGAACAATTTGTAATAATAAAGAAGAAAAATATTCAAATGTACCCTTTGATAAATTCTTCTTTGGTCAATTTTTTATCTTCACCAATACCAAGTGTATTGAATATACTAGCGGCTAACTTTTTCGGATCAAGATTATCTTTTTGATCAGTTCTACCTACGATGGTTAACTAAAAATACAGTAGTATTAATGCATAGTACAGTAAAAAAAAACGAGTTGAAAGAAGAAAAAATTTAAAAAAATCATACTGAAGCCGAGAGAAAAGTAGCTAATTCATTGACATCCACTCTTCCGTCACCTGAAACATCACACCTAAATAGTTACAAGAATTTCTTAAGAATTCAGAGAAGATAATGTAAGAAATTCTCACATTTCGAAAACATAATCAAGATGACTATCTAGATCATGTGGTGTACCCACAGCAACAGCCAATAAAAATTCATTAAAGTCAATTGTACCATCATGGTTTTTATCAAAGATGGCAAATACATGACTTTTATAAGCAAAATAAAGAAAATTCAAAGTCTAATGTAAAAAGTTACATTAGCATACTCGCACAAGACACTTGTTTTATCTTTATCATCTTTAATTTCTTCGTAGTATTTCACAAATCCTGCCTTATCCAATCTACCTGCTGGAAAATCATTCCAAAAAGCCTAGAAAAACATTGAAAAAATAGAAAACATGAAAATGACGCAGGATCTAATAATGATATATGACACTTACTCGGTGCAATTCTCTAATTTCTGGAAAAAAAATAGATAAATTAATGATATGATTCGTTTACGATGTTGTCTTACCTTCTTCGCTAAGTCTTGATCTTTTTTTTAGTATAGCAACATCTAAATATAATTCCTTTTTATTAAATTAATATGTAAACAAGACTAGAGAAAACCTCGTGAAGTTAATTCTTTAGATGTTCCACCTTCGAGAGCGACGTTGTTTCCCATGAAGAATACTTTTCTTGATTGATAATAAGCGAAGTAAAAAGAAACCTGAAACGTAAACAATAAACATATCAATTGAAAATTTGCCTATATTCCCAATAGAAATACGGAAGAATAAAATATAAATCTGGTTGATTGAAGACGAATTCGTCTACCGTACGTGTCAAAATCCACAAGGGTGTGATAAGTTGTTTCAATATTTTCCTCGTATATTTGATCGCACGTCATTAGTAAGAAATAATAGCTCAATTGTAAGTTAAAAATACGCAAAAGAAAAAAATAATAGCACACAAAAATGTGTTGATCAGAGTAGAGAATAAAAAGCTCATCGGTACTCACGTAAGCGTTGTTTAAATAGTGCGACTCGATAAAAAAAGAAAAGTGTACAAATTTCTGTTACTTATTTTTCTTTGTAAGCAATAATGATACGACGAACGGAATTATGGCCCTGTCGTTTCAATTTATATGTCATTCCATTATTTTCTTTTGCTTATGCATCAGCTCTTTTTCTTTGCCTTGATTTTTCTTTTTTTCTTCCACTTGTTTGTGAGTTCATGAATGACATCCAAATTTTTGTTATCATTCATCGTAACAGAAGAAACCTAGGCATGTCAAAATTGAAAGCTGAATTCAATTATTGAAGAATTTCTCAGATGTTGCTATATTACTTCCTGAATGTCTTTTTGTGGCATCTTTATTGAGACAGTTGCTTTAAGTATGCGTTTCTGTGGACATTTGATCTTCATATATTCAATTATTTAATTCAACTTTCAGATTTGACATTGATAATATAATACAAATAAATTCAGTTCAAACATTGTTTTATTATATAGATAGCATTAAAGAATTTTCAATCTGTCCACTAGTGACTATCACAAATCATTGTTCAGGGAAATAACAAACTAGAATTCTTTTACAATAAGCCAATTTTTTTTTTCTCTAGTTCTCAAAATAATTAAGACAATTATTAGACATTTTTATTCAAATATTATATTTTCACAAATTTTCTTTTCTAATATGCATTCATAAAAATTAAAATTTTCAAATTAAATTATGATACATAAAAGCAATAAAACGAAATATTATATTTGTTTATGAATATGCCATTTTTAATTCATTTTAAAAAGTACTTCTATAATAAAGAATCTCTTTTTAAAAGATCTTGACAAAAATCACGAGCCTTTTTGATCAGTATCGCTTCAATGTGCTCAAGTCGATTAAGTTGTGCTAAGAAAAAGCTGATAAGATTTTTCAAATGTGATCCACTCTTATCTAAATTCATTGTTGATGACAAGTCTGGATTGACAATAGATTGAGGAGGATTGTAATTGTATGCCATTTTACCATCTAATACATAAGCAAGTCTGACAAGTTCATGTAGAGTAATATTAGAAAGAAAATAGAATTTGTATGCATCACAACGTTTTCTAGCCGATGACGTAGATTCTAATTGAAATAGAATAGTAGCTATTAATTCACCAATGAGACCATCTCGATCATCATATGGTAAAGTAAGAATATATTCGAGATGTTGACGAATTAAATTTTGTCGATCAACCAAAATGCATTTACGTAAATCGGTAATTCGAGAACCAAGAAAATATTTATCAAATTGAGATAGTTGAGCTAAAATTGATTAAGAAAAAAACAAAATTTTCATAGTTAGATATTCAGTTTTTTAATATTTTCTTACTATAAAGATAAAGTTCAGTGAGAAGAACTTGTGGTCCATGATAAAGAGCAAGTTTTCGTTGATTTGCAAGCCAAATTGTATGTTTTATAACTAATGATTCTTCTATTTGATTGAATAGTTGTATAATATCATTGGTAAATTCATCGACATTTAGTTCATCTTCTGTAATAAGTAATTCAATATCGATATCCGATGCTGGTGAACCTTGCCCTCTTGCAAATGATCCGATTAAAACTGCACCTTGAATACGTTTAGTATCTCTACGAAAAAATTCTGCCAAGAATTTGATAATCTTTTCTTGTTGTTCCATTTAGAGATCCATTTATCGTTTACTCGTAAGTTTTTCAGACACGTGCTATCAAAAATCTTTAATTTCCAACTAACTTTTGATTTAATGCAAAAAAAACTTATTTCACACGGCGCTTAATCACAAATTTAATCTTTCTAAATTCTAGAAAAATCTAAAAAAAAGAACTATAACATGCGTTTTTGTCGGACTGAAAAATCAATTAAACTAAAACCATTTTTATGCTTCACAAAAATGAAACTTTACAAGATGAGATTTGAAAACAGCTTTCAAAAGAAACAATTTTATAATAAACGTTTAAATATGTTGTAAATTTTTAAAACATTCGTTACATTACTTTCTTGCATATTTTTCATATTACCATAAAATTTGTTAATTCAGATGTATTCACCAGTATACATGAATACATTTGTTTTAAATTTTATTTGCCTTAAAAAACATATTTGTACGTTTTTCAAGTTTCGCTATAATCTTGACTTTTTAGTGCCAGCATAGCTGCTTTTCCAAATCTTTTAGAAATCTCTTCAAGATTCTTCAGAATAATTTGATCTTTTGTTTTAAAGATCGATAACCAGTTATAAAATTGAGCTAATGGTGCATGAATAATGGGTTTATATGTGTTGAAATGCCAAATACGAGGTGATTCAGTGAGATCTTTTTCTGCAAAGGAAAAAGTATTGTAACATTGTCGAAGCTCAGTTAGATGACCACGAAAAATTAGATTAAGTGCCATTTCATCACTTGTATACATAGCTGATGGATGCGCACGTACTAAAGCTTCAGCATGTTGTTTAATACGAAGCTCACGCCATTTATATGAATCCATTAGCATGATACCTAATAAAAGTACGAATATTATTGAGATTTTTCGAACGAATGCTTTCAGAAAGAAAAACAAAAGATGATAAAAGTTCAACAAAAAAAAGACCTAGAAAATGATACTATTTAATATTGATTATGTCTCATAAATTAAAAATCAATACAATTATTGAACTGAGTCAATTTTCGATGTTATATTTTAATTAAAGTTATTTCATAGAAAATCAAACATAAAATATTCAATCAGTAAGATAGATTAAATGATCAGTATTTAGAATAAATACACTGTACTGAAATTATCAGTAATTAATAATAAAATGATCTGTTTATTACATACAAGTAGCAGTAAATAATTACAATTTATTTCAGTAAGAAATACAAATTTGATCAGTATAAAATAGAGATTGTATTAATAGAAAAATAAGTTTTAACTGTATTAAGTAGAATAGTATGAGTAGAAGAAAAATAAGAAAAAATGCGAATTAACGTTTTAATCGATATCTGAAGAACAAGTGAGAAAAGAAAAAAGAAAAATGAAATTATTGTACTAGCAAAACGTGTTTAACCTTAGCTGGTCTACCTGTTTTTCCTGTCTCATCAATCGGAACTAGTTTTACTGCTAGTGATGGTTTGCTATATTTCAAATAAACAGCTATAACATCAACGTATTTGCATACGTTATTCTTTAAAAACAACCCTGGACAACTGTATTTTGATTTTTTTCAATCTGAACCATTATACACATTTCCACATACGAAATATCAAATGATTTTTTTCAATTTATTAAATATTGACTATGTTTTATTTTTATGTCTGTTTAAATTGACTTGAGAATTGATTGTAAATCATGAATTGACATATAAAATTTTTTTGAAGAATGATGGGAAACACAAACTGTATCTTTTGTTGATTTAGTCTATAGATAAAATAAAGTCTATAATTCTAAAGATATTGTTGGTTCATTAGTAAATAGTTTTCCATTGATTAATGGAACATTTCATTCAATTGACCAACTATTGACAATAGTTAAAGCTATTGTCAAAAATCTTGATAGAACATGACGTTCTCTCAATGTTTCATCATCTTTGATTGTTCTGTTGGCTGCCTCTAGGGCATTGTTTATACATCGTGTATAAAGTTGTATATCTTTATAACAAGCATTATTTGTTTTGAAACCATTCATTATGAAAATTGTTCATAGAATCTAATATTGATTTGTTTTTTGTTCATATTTGATTTCTTCATAAATAATGTTTTACTCTGATTTGAATACTTCTGTAGAATTGGGTATTTGAAGCAATTCGATATCTTCTTTTATTTCTTTTGCAATATGTTTATCATGTATTTGAATCACGCTCTAATATATATATCAATTTCTATACTCATCTGTTAATTCGATTTACTAGTAATTAATAATATTTATTGGCTTACTGATCATTTCATCTATTTTTACTGATTACTTAAATCATAACCTTTAAAATCTAACTGTATTAGATCAATACAATAGGAAGAATATTTTTTACTATTATTCAAAACACTGTTACAACTAATAAGCTTTGAAATAAGAGAAATAATCTCGTAAGATCTTCCTTACCAGCATTGAAATATTTGTGATCTTCTAAACCAACCGAATAATTGATACCATCTAATTCATAATCCATTTTTTTGAGATTTGTTCGAAATTCTCGTGTTATCAATTCTTTAATCATTAAATGTGTTCCGGGAACAACTGCCGCAATTGTTTCAAATGGAATAGTGAAAAGTTCATGAATATCATTTATAATATAAGTATCAACATCCAAATATAAAATTCTTCTTTCATATGGAAAAATATATGGAATTTCAAGTCGAGCAAATGTTGTTCTCGATGAAACAGATCCACAAATAATATCTAGAGGCTTGACATATACAATCTCGATATGTTTACGAAGATCATTCAATGGTTGAGAATGTTTGCCATCAAGAAGAACTGTTATTTTACATGGCATAGATCGATGTTTCAGTAAAGACATAACTAAACCTTTACAAAGCATTTGATAATAGAGAGATTCATTAACAGCGCATACAACACGATGCATATAGGTTTCTTATATGGTGAAAGTTACAAAATTAAGATAAAGAATAAACGAGTTTTATATTAAATTTTTTAATATTTTACAAAAAAAAAAGTAAATATATTACATATGACTAAGTATGCTCACCTTATACCACACTAAGCAACAGATAAAGACCAATCAAAACTGCTAAATTTCAATAGAAACGATAGCGGGCGCTTCTGGTTTGGAGATTCTAAACACAGACGCATTGAACAATATTTGACAATAGAATTTAAATGATAAGAACTTCAAGTTCTGCATTAACTGCATAGGCAAGATATTTCGACAGAAACAAATCAGTAAATAAAAATATTCATCAGCTCAGATCAATGTATTGTCTAGTGGAAAAATAGAACTTCATTCAAAAAATAACATATTATGTGTTATTCAGTTTTTACAAAATTATTCATTATCGTTTATTTTGTATTTGTTCTCCTGTCTTTTTTTTTTGTCTTAATATTAGTAAAAGATGTCGCGCCACTGTTTCCCATTTACTTCAGTATTTTCGATTGAAAAATACATAAATGTATGACGAAAGGGCATCGTTACAAAACCAAATTTTTCACCCAGATGTAATACAATTGCTACTTGATATGACCACATAGGCACTAGTGCCTTGAATCAGTGGTGAGAAATAAGAAACATATAAATCTTCATGCACTTTTTTTTTGCTATAAAACCAAGTGATATGAGTCGAATATGATGCATTTTTTATATTCAGTACATGTTATTATTTTCCTATTACACTTCATAACAATTTTTCTAAGTCTTTTATATACGAAATTGAAATAGTTCGCTCTTCGTAGTCGAATGTCTGATATTCCACTGCATCCGTGCTGTTGATAATATGTTTCAATTGGGTTTAGTTCTTCGAAATGCAACAATTCTTCTAACTTTGACCAAACTTTAAAATCATTTCAACGATATTTTTCAATTTCAGCTAGATCCTTCATGCTTAATTGTTTTGTCTAACGTGGGAGATATACTACACGTATTTACAAATCGAAAACGTTCTGATTAATGTGATCTTCTTTGGACATTTCGGTATCTTTATCCAGAAGGATTTATTTGTATACGAGATAAATTTTTTAAATATTAATAAATACTTATTATCTCATTTAAAGTGTAGATGCTGCACAAAAATGATACGCTTCAGTTATAGTTTCCGTATTTCATTGTAGAAAGATCATTCCTAATTTACCTATAATTATTGTTTGTTCAAATAAGCTTTTGGCTAGATGGCATGCTGATTCTACTCCGTATCGTCATGTTAATATTAATAAACAGTGTCATAAACTTTAATTTGCCATCTCTGGCTTATTTGTTTTTGGCTATAATTGGGAAACATTACATGACGAAATTAGTACTAATTGAAATAAATTAATGATGCCAATAGATGACATCTTGAATATATTTTAGATAATACTTCAACTACCGAATTTTATGACCTTTATTCATTTAAAAGCAAGTTCAAAGTTTTGATGAACACATACCATCATCGAAAGAAACTTAGATCAAATGATGAAGCAAAAAGTTGCATAAAGTGAAGAAAGGATAGCATAACGAAAATGAATATGTTTGATTGTATTATTGGTTTAGTTCGCTGTAAAAAGGTGAAATTATGAAAACAAGAAAAAAAGAGAAAGACGAAGAGAAAAATGGTACGTTTTAATAATTGATAATGATATGATGAAGAAAAATAATATTTACTCCTGTTTTGAGGTCTATCTCGAACTAAATTATTACATGAAATATGTTATTACTTTTGATCATTGCTGGTTTTCAAACATCGTCTGCAGCATTATCTTTCTTCATTTATCTCATCAGGAAATATCCACGTGTACAAAAGAAAACTGAAATCAAATTAAAAAACAATGAAAATAATCAAAATTTAACAATGGTACGACTTTACTGGCTCATCTATTTAGATGCTATTATCAATGAAGTACTTCGTTTTACTTCACCTTCTATCGGTACAAATCGTAAATTGATGGCAGATTACCATCTTCCATAAAGTGGAACAAATACATATTCTGTTTTATGCAAGTACATATGACTCTCGATATTGGTCTAGTGGTTCAGTAGAGCTCTTCTATTTAGATAGGTTTCTTACAGAAGACAAAAAATAATCATTTCTATGGATATATTCTATTTGGTGACAGTCATAACCAGTTTACTAGACAAGAATTAATTCGATTGGAATTGAAAATAATCATAGAAGTGTTAATTTAATTGGTCACATTTGTTGATAGTAGTCCTGAGTTGAACGCTGGTAGATATGTTGAGAGAGTAAACAATCTACTTTATCATGTTGATTTCACTATTCAATTCGATCAAGGAGCAAAATATTGCTCTTAATGGTGCCTAAAATGAGTCTTAAACAATAACTCATTTTATTTAGAATTTTTCTTACTATCATCAACATCACTAATATTTTTTTTCGTATGCAAAACATAGACTATTCCTTTAAATACGTATTCTTCCAAAATTCAAACGAAAATCTATACTAGAATTTATTGATATGTTGATTCCATTTTATACGAATAACTACGTCACAGAAAGTTGAATCGTATATCATAAAAACATCTTGCAAGAAATAAAGAGAAATCTCTTTATTAATCAATCAAATACTATATAATTTGGCCGTCATCGTCAAATTGCCCTCAGTCATTACTCAAAAAAGCAGCAATTCGGAATCAATTTAAAATAATTGCTTTCTAACACTATCTTTTCTGGTATTGTAAGAAAGGCAAAAAAAATACGAACTAACTGATCGAATAAAAAAATGCGTATAAATATGAATAAATTCTCATCAAAGTGTGGGTATGAATAAAGAAGACATCAACATCCATGTTTACATCCACATCTTTCAGCTGCTGTGGTAAAACAACATCGTTTTCCTTTTATATTACATCTAATATGTAACATGTAGTGCGAAAATGTCAAGTATCTCGAAAGAAATGAAATCATTATGTTTTATTATTTGGAATCCAATAAAAAAATGCCAGCTTTATTGATTTGATGATTCCTCACATTATTATTACAAAGACAAAATAATATTTAATATTGTCAGGTTTCACTTGCAAAAGATTCTCAAGACGATCATCAATTAACTTGTTCAACTGAACATTGTCTTCAATATCTCTAAATGAACTACATATGTAGATAACAATCTCGTCCTGAAAAATTAATACAGATCAACACCAAGTCTGTGTTCGATAGGTAACTTCTCTCAAATCGATATCGTAATAATAGTTTTAAATAAAGAACGCGTACCAGAAATTAATTGAGATGTCAAAAACTACTATTGCTTATAGCTAGTATTACTATTTGAAACTGAAATGGAGGCTCGTAATGTTCTTAACTACACTATGACAATGACATTAAACAACTGAAAATTTCAACAAATTATCTATGAAAATGAGCAATACATTGGGTATTACTAATTTATTGCTGTACGAACGATTATAAAGTGTAGAAAATAATAAATATATTATAAAACGATTTAATAGTTTTGTTCTACTAAATCCTGATTGTTAACAATATAACTAATTCATAATTCTCATGTGATATCCTAAAATGTACAATCTTATTTCGATATTAAAAGTTTTAAAAAATGATTATTCTCCAATGGAATACTCTAGCATTCATATGATATTGTCAATCTTTGAAATTTTCACATATCACATTCTAATAACTGAATCTAAATTTATTGAGTTAAAGAAATTATTCAATTCATCAGATACTATCTTTACAAAAAAAAAAAAAAAAACTTTAACATGATAAGATGGATCATATTGAATAAGAAAAAAAAATCCATGAAGAATGTATGAAAATTTGAGATACATATTAAATTATATATACAAAAGTGTATGATTGATTTAATTTTTCAAGAAAGGCGTTGTCGTTTACATGAACTATGTTCCTGTTGATGTGATGAATGTTGAACCTCCATTGGCTCAGAATCTGAAGATATTTGATCCTAAAATAAATTATATCAGAAAAATTTCAAAAAAAAAAAAAACTATAAATAACTAAATTTACACATTCTTCATTGTCAATTAATAATCTTGGTTCTTTTTGTCGATGTTCTTTTTCTACAATCTATTTCCAAAAATAAAAATAATAATATTCATATAATAAAATGATATTGACCTGTTTTTTTGTACGTGGCAACCATGAAATACTTGGCTGTGTATGTGTTTGTCGAACATTTGAATTACCCATCAAATTTGAAGATTTATCATTGTCCATAGTCGTCAGAACTATATGATTGAAACAAATAAATAAATTTATGATCGAAATATTTTTGACTTACGTATGTTATTGCATTTAATATTTTGATTTTGTACTAATAAAGAATCGATTGATAATGGTGATTGACATCGAGCATGTAAAGATGAAGATCTCTGTTGACGTTTTAATTTTGGTACAAACCATTCTACTCCAATATTTACTTTATTATCTTTGTTTCCATCAAATAATGTTAATGATTGACTACGACGACGAGTTGTAGAAGATTTCTAATGAAAAGAAAAAGAAAAAAATTTTTAAGTAAAACAAACTTCTCGTTCAATTTTATTTATTACAATTCGATCATTATTGATATTTATCAATTGAATTTGTTTAGTTTTAGAAACATATGTCAACGAAATATCATCATCATTATCTGATACTGGTTCTAAATCTTCATCTTGTATATCTTCTTGAATAATCGATTGTTCATTCGTATTTGAACATGTTGACTAAATTTGATACAGTAGTAATAATATGAGAATAATATATAAAATGTATTTTACTAGATTATGATGAATTGATTGAGAATCATTGTTCGGAAGAGTTTGAATATAACGACGAAGACGATTTAATATATTTAAAAGACGATCCTTATTTTTTTTCTGATCATCAGATGAAGAACTAAAATTAAGTATTTCAAAATTGTGTTTATTATTTTTTCAAGAGTATAGCCAGGAATTTTCCAAAGAGGATGTTCGACTTATTATGAGAGATGTACACCATCAGCAAGAAAATATATTTTTGTTTGATGAAAAAGTTTTTTATCCGTACTTTTCCATTCCATGCATTTTTTTTTGGGGGGTAAAGGAAGTATGCAGACAACTCCCTTATATCCCAATTCACTATGCTCCTGTTATTATTATTATTATTTAGAGAGAAAAAAATTCTTACTCAAAATTCCATTCTTTAAGCAGTTGTTCAATATCCTCAGCAGTAATTCGTTTCGAGCGTGCATGTCTTATTAATTCATAGACAGCCTCAAGTGTTGAGTGTAAATTATCTTCTATTTTTTGACATAATGAATGTAAACAAGTATGTTTTAATGTTGAATAAAGAGATTTTCTAAATGATTTTGATAATAATACGCAAATAAAATTGTCTTTAAGAACTTACGGATCTTTTTCTGAATAGAGAGTTTCTAGTAAATGTTCATATTGGTTTTTTAATAACTAGAGAATAAAAAAAAGATAATATTTAAAAATCTATATCAAAACAATAATGTTTTACAGTTGGAGTTGAAGAAATTTCTAGACTAATATCCTTTACAATCGATGACCAATTAATATCTGATGTTGATGATTGTTGTTGATGAAGAGTAACGAAATGTATAAGAATAAAATTACTTTTTTCATTCCATATAAATGCCATTGTATATTAAAATCTAAAACTAAACACGTTCGAATTTTTGTTCTTGACCAAAAAAAAAAAAAAAAAAACAACTTCAGTACTTTTAACAACTATAAAATGATAAAGTTAAGAAAAAAAAAAACAGAACGAAAAGGAAAAAGTAAAAGTATTATTTCATTTTATTGTAATGAAAGAGAATAACGATTTTTCGTGACCAGACATTAAAAACGTGATTACTAGAAAAAAACACCTCGATAACCAATAGACAAACAAAGAAGAATATTTAAATTTGTGTCCGTTGTATATATATATATCTGCAACATCGACTACGAATGTATTGTTGATTCTTTCATACAATCATCCATATACTATAATGAAACAAGCAGTCTCGTAACTGACAACATGTGCGTTGTATATGTTGTGTGTGCACAGAGACATAGAAGAAAAGAAAAATAAATGCATGAAAAAGAAAAGAATAATTTTAAACGTACGGTCGGTCAGTTCATCGTTCTGTATAGAAATTTATTGAAGAGACACAATCAGTGTACACATAGATCTATTTTCATTTTTCATAGACACAGACAAAATTCCAATATTTCGTTATTATTTTTAGATCGTCTAGTCTAGTCCGTCACTCATATCTTCATCATTGTTACATTTAAATCCGAAAAAAAAATAGATCATGCAGGTTATTTTTTTGCTCAAAACAAAAAAAAAACTTTAAAACAAAATACCCGGTTTTTGTTTCATTTTAGTTCTTTCATCATCAATTTAATAATAATTCAATTATATCCAATAATGGTATCAACAATAATATTCATATATCTCGTCAATTATCTATCATAGATGATGGTCCATTACGTATTCATGTTGGAAATATTCCATTTAGTTGGTCTGATAAACATCTACGAGAACAATTTGATGTAAATTATATTAAATAAATAAGAAAGAAATTTATATTTAGTTTTGATTTATTGTATAGATTTTTGGTCCAGTTGATGATGTTGAGGTAGTTTCAAATGCACAAGGATCAAAAGGCTTTGGATTTCTTACATTTCTTCGGCGACGTGATGGTGAACGTGCTATGCAAGTTAAAAATGGCACAATTGCTGACGGACGGAAAATAACAGTATGTTATTAAATTTTTTCTCATTTTCTTTTGACATATATTAATCTTTTCTTTATATAAGGTCTCATTGGCCGTCGCTAAGAATCATGCAACATCATCGTTATTATCAACACCACCACAAACACCTGCTCGAACAGCCTTTCGATGTAAATATCAGTTCTTTAACAAGTAAAGTCTTCGTCTATGCATTGGATTATATTTTTTAGCTCTTTCAACGAATCGTCCAATGCCATTATTGGTAACCTCATCATCTTTGTCGCCTGATGCACCGATGTGGATGCCATTAACACCACCTTCATCGACTACTTGGCGTTTATCTCCTGATCCACAATCCAATGGATGGATAAATGCATCTCCAACTTCATCATCTAGTCCATTGTCAATGCTCTTTCCACCATTAGTTTCATCACCACGTGTTGAATGGTCAACGGAAAATGAAAATGTAAACAATAATTGGCAATCAGTAACTACTGAACCAGTGATGTAAGACGTTTTTCAGTTAAATCATAACTCGATATTGAAATAAATCTTTTGTCTTCTTTTAGTAACGATAAGAACTGTTGCAAATATTGTCCACATTGTGGTCGCTCAATTTATTAGTAAGTTTAATATTTTAAAAATTCGAATTAATCAATCAAGTATATTATCTTTAGAGTTCTAGAGAAATGATTCTTTTTCTTCATATATACATTATAGTCAAAAATTTAGTGTAATAGCAAGGGCTTGTTTGTTTGTTTATTTTTTTTTTTGTCTCATACTTCTGAATAATGTTGTATCTATACTTTTGCTTTGGTTTGCTTTGTTTTGGTTTTTTTTCCGAGTGCTAAGCTTATATTGTTGTTTTTTTTTCTTGCTCTATGGTTTGAACATGTTGTACAGCGATCTTGAGTTTTTGCCGTATTTTTGTTTTTTTTGTTAGTTTTTTTGGTGTGCTGTTTTTGAGAGCAGGTTCTCTCTGTATTTTTTTCCTCTTGTACTCTTGTTGCTTTGTCAGAGCAGTTACAACTTATTCACTATTTATTCATTAATCATTGCTTCTTTCAAAAACAAAGAATAAAAATTAGAGGATAATAATAATTATGGCCACTCACAATATTCATCAGAGGTAGATTTTCTCATTGAATTTTTATTCAATATTTTATTTTACAGAAAGGTTGGCAATGTAAGAAAATTACATGTTATTAAGTTGTATAGTCAGCTTATTTAGTAGTTAATATTTGTGATAACTGAATATCTGATTCATGTTTTACTATTCTGCAAAAATAAAGATAATTCGTTTTTTTAAATAAAGAAAATGTAATCGTACTTATCAGAGACATCCCATCGAGATAGGGCGCACTGCTCTGTTCTTAGGACATGGCAACCTGACATCCTTTTTTGTCTTGTCCTCAGACTAGTGTACTCTGACACCTTGTCCTATTTGCTCTGTATGACAACCTGGATAGAACGGTGAGCAGATCTGGATAAAATAGTTTGCTGTGCTAACATTTTTTAATAAAAAGGTCATTTGAAATCAATTACTAAATGCAAATGTGAATCTTTGAGAACATGTTTCATTTATCTGATGCTACCAGCTAGTGATGATTTCATGCTTTTGACCGATTTTATTAAAATTTGTGTATGCAACACTCATTCTAATTCATCTTTGTTCAACGCAAACTCTTTTAATTTCGAAATGACCCAACACCTCTTATCAAATAATAAGCACGTCGAGCAAATATTAAAAAACTGAATATCGATCTGTTGTTAAATGATGATGAAAGAGTTCAACTCAAATTAAATTATGAAAACTGTTCATTAGATTACCAATCTATTTCATCGTCGACCTCAGTTTATATGCCCTGAGGCTGTTCTGTTCGGGGCTACATGCAGGACATGGTGAAAAAAAAAATGTTCTATGACAGTCTCTGTTACTTATCTAATAATGGTTCTTCAACAGTTTCATAAAGCGAAGGAAATTCATCAAAAAAGATGAGAACATGATGGATAAGTAATATCAGTGTTGAAGTACTATGCATCAAGCACTGTCATCATGAAAATATATACATGTACTTCCACAACATGCTGCTGATTTGTGAAATGAATTGAACTTTTTCTCTCTTAGACAATATATATTCACCACAACAGATCACTAGACAATATAAGTCAAATGAAAAAGAAATAATGTGAAAGATTCTTTACACTACTTGTGAATCACTGGATGAGCCCATGACTGATATTATTCAGTGTTAATAATGGTTCTAATTGTAATTAATAAATAGGATATGCTACGATTCTCAAGTAATGTTCTATTTCCATTATTTTTTCATGTCATTTTAGATAAAACAGTCAAGAAATCATTAGAATCATGTTCTCTGTAGATTTGTTACAGAATGCATAGTTTACGGACTTGATATGAACAATCGGGGATCTCAACCTCTGGCCCAATTGAAAATTTTCAGTTTTTTCCTTTTGCATTTTTTATTTCTGGTGTGAAAGTTTAAATGATCTCCGTCTAATAATCACATTTTTCAAGAGGTCAAAATTCCTTTTTTTTTTATAGAAAAGATTTCATTTTTTGCTAAAAAGCCAAAAAAGTACAAGTATCTATGCGTTTTTCTTAAAAACAGCCTTTGAAACAAAAACTTTTGTCTTATACGGTAGAACCAATTGTATTCAACATATTCTATAGACATTTCGATCAAATTGCAGTGCGTACTTATTTTTCTCTCTTGAGAATACTGTACTTACGAATTTTAACAGATTTTAAACAATTATTATTGTTCAAACAACATTATTTTTCATTTGTTTCTTTTTTGTAGTGCCTCCAATCAATTGATTGTCACGCGCCTCCGAAACAATATGTTTGAAAGAAAAGAAAACTCACACATAGATTCGGTTCCAGTTGCCACAGAGAAGATTTCATTTCTAAAAATTTTAGTATGAAATTTTTCCAGGGGAGAGGAATTTCGAGCCATTTTCAGTCGTTGCGCTTCCAAGATTTCTGAAGATGAAGCATTTAGGATTGGGTTTGTGATAAATTTCATTCTTCTGATCGAGATCTCTCTATCCTGAAAGTTTAAAAAAAAATCAGGGGTCTCTTAAGTATCGTTAGTCTCGACTGAAATGTAATATGAAAGTCAATCAATATATTGATGAATTTCTTTCTTTAACAACATTGTTGAACTAATTCACCTGCATAGAAATTGTAAAATACATGTATAAACGCTGAATAATTTATATTTTTTTTACTTACTGAAAAAATTGATGTGAAGTTATTCATATTCGAGTTCATTGTGTGAAGTAATCAGGCTAGTTAGCTATTTTCATAACACACTAAACTAACGAACCTACTACCTCAAACTTGAGCTCGATCTATTGTTGTTTTCTTATGTATTCTCATGTCGTCTGATCGATCTAATTAGCTAAATAATTATTTCATGGCCTTCTGATTCCTTATCAAATAAGCTTGGCTTTGTTTCTAATTAATCAGTTTATGGCGCTGGTTTTGTAGGGACAGGATAGATGACCAATAAATTAAGAATGTCGATAAGAAAACTGAACCCAACATAAAATTAAGTCATCGAACACGAAGTGCAATAAAGAAATTGTAAATTAGAGGATTAGAAGAGTATAACTATTGGAGCAGCTATCTATTGATTCGTTCTGTTAAGAAATAAACGCTGTCATTCAATCACGTGCAATAGTCTAACTAAAAAGACACTTTTTCTTTCTTATGTATTTTTCGTATGGTTCACAAAAAACTTCTGAAAACATAGTAATACATGAAGACTATAATATAAATCATTTTTCTTTTATATCTACACATTGTAAGTGCAGTAAATCTTATCAATACACGATGATACTTATAGATATGACAATGCATAGCGTCACATTGGCAAACGTTAATTTCTATAATGCAATAAGGAAAATATGTGATTGAGTAATCATTCTTGATGTTTTCAAGTACTATGCATCATTATAGTGTGCATGTTCTATATACGTTATTTTCTTTGATAAAACAAGAACAGCAATCTTATGCATTGTTTGTTTTTATTTTTGTTTTGGTCTGTATTAATTGACGTCTAGAAGACATTCGCACATATGTTGCGATATGTGTAGATTAACCTGTTTCTTCAATAGTAGAAGCAAATCTTTTGACCACATGACAGACTTGTTATTTTAGAGATAATTCTCCTTAGAAAACGATATATGAAGTGTAATGGGGTCTCATAGCCAAAATAAAACCCATGTCGTATAGATTTCCATGATTCAAAAAAAAGCATCATCGCCCAAAATAAAATTTTTAAAAGCTAAATTTGAGTTTGAAAGTAACTAAGCAACAAGACAACGAAAGATGACTAGCACTTTTACTTGTTATTACTCGGAAATGATATCTTGAATTATTTTCTTCAACACAGTCTGCATGTAAACATGATTACATTTATGTTCTTTCTTTCCAATGAAATTATTCATTTATTAACTAAATTGAAGTATCTCGGTTTTTACTATCACATTAAATCGATGATATCTTAATCGAAATAACCATAGAAAAATGACATTACAAGGGAAACTGTTGTCATATTATGTTCATTCGAAATTAATGAATAAAAAAATCGTCAAACTTTTATATATTGAATATAATTAAAATTCATTTAATTTGGTACATTATTCAAACAGATTCTCTGAACTTATTTTATTTATAATAAATCTTCATTATCAAATAAAAGCTTCTTGTCTTTTCAAGCAAGAAAGGTCATATATATATATATAGTATTCATGAAATAATATCTGATCATTAAAGGTTATTTACAAGGCAATAGCAAAAATTCACTTTTTGTACCTTATTTCTATCCTTAAGTTTTTATTTATTCAAATCTATTTCAAAATTTGTGAAGAGCAAAGTTGTGAAAGTAACAGTAACAGTTCACCATACAGATACCCGAATTTGGTATTCTAGTTTCAGCCACTGCTGCAACTTTGATTCGATATCGTTTCAATTGACAAATAATAAGTTCGCGTTTAGTGACACGATAGCAGAACCTAACATTTCATGATCCAAAAAATGTTACCTTAGTTGTAGTAATGGCTCTTGATTGTTCGTTTTCTGTAGTCAGAAATAGTTTAACGTTTCTATACTCGAATGATTGGTCCGAGAATGGGACATGTGGGGTTCTGGACTCCAGGGGATGCCCTTCCAGGGCCGCACGCACCACTCGACCCCCCCCCCCCCTGAGAGTGCACAGTCACTCTCCAGTAGAAGTCAAGCATGTGAGATACTGAATTGTCTTTGAAATTTTCATTACCAATGATTCCAGTGATGGAATCAAACTTTCTGTAGTTTTCTGTCGCACTCCTTATGATCAGCAACGTGTCAAAGGTATTCTTTTCTTTTCTGATTCTAATGGCCATGAAAAGTTTTTATTCACTTATTGTTTCGGTAATTAGTTTTGAAATTTCCATCTCACATATTTGTGATAATTTCATTCCAGTCAATTGTGGGTCACA